GTGCCTCATCATCTGTCAAAGCCTGATAAGCTAATTGTATATTAAAAGAAGAAATAATTTTTGTTAAATTTTATATTAAATTTGTTAATATGCTAGAAACAATATACTTCATTATATGCAATATATGCAAGCTCTATATATATATATAGATACATTTCATAATATTATTTAAAACTAATTATACTTTATTCATTTCATTTATAAACTAACCTTTAGTTAACTTCATAAACGCTTTTTCATTTCCTGTTTCTTTATCTGGATGTAAAATCAACGAAAGTTTACGATATGCCTTTTTAATCTCACTTTGTGATGAGCCCTTAATGAAGATACGATTAATAATTAAGTTATTTAATTAAATGGATATCTTAAATATTATCTATACTTACAGGAGAAACTCCCAATATTTCAAATGGATCAAAATTTGCCATTTCATAATCAAATTGGGATACTTTATATGCTAGTAAAATAAGAATTATCCATCCCAGAATAATCAGAAACTTCCTACGATAATATACAGATTATGATATCAATCGTATCTAGTATATACTTTTGTTAAATTAAATAATTAGATTATAAAAAAATATATAAAACTTACGTAAACAATGCTTTTGTTTCTTTCCAAGGTTCATTCGATTGTAAAATGATTTTTTTCTTTTTGCACCCATCGCACTGACATTCTTTCGAAACTTTATCCGGATCTACAAAGAGAAAAATGTTAATTTTAACTATCTGTTCCCCATAACTTAGTTACAAATGGTAATAATCAGAAACATATTAATAATTATAAATTTTGAAAAGCTTTGAGCTTAATCCATTAAGATAATACACGATATATAAAATATATCTCTTATTAAAAATTAAACTTTAAATTTAGTTTATGAAACATTTTTTAATTTAGTTATTACACGAAGTTTATTTCCCCAATTACTTTATTTTTTCTCTACTAAAGTAAAAACAATCAATAAGAGCAATAAAGTTTAAAGAAAAGCGTCGCCATTCGATTCATGAGTTTAATAAATTTTAAATAAACTGATATACTCTAACCTTGCTTTGGGCAACGTGGCCATAGATAATATGTTCCGGGTATCAAAAGGAGTGCCAAAAATGAAAGCAGGAAATAGAAAAACGTCCCTCCACTTTCGTCATATTGAAATTTCTGTCCGCTCATAGCTCATTAAGTACAAATATTTAAATTAATCGAGTTATACTTTGAATTCACGGTTCCATCATGTACATCATTAAAGTGTAACATTTATCTTCGTCAAGAGTGCCAACTCAGCATAGACCGCGGATGAATAATTTTAAGTCCGGCATACAATAGACGTTCTCGGTGACGTTGACGATTCACCAAAAATGAGTATACTTGTCATTCTTTCTACCAGTTTTCACCGTTATTTTTCACTCCCTCTTCTTCTTTTCATTCCTTTCCATTTTTTAAGCTCTCTCTCTCTCTCTCTCTCTCTCTCTCTCTCTCTCTCTCTCTCTCTCTCTCTCTCTCTCTCACTCTGCAACTAAATTGTTATATTAGTAATTACGAAGCTCGTTCTTCCTTCCTATTAATAAGTTTCCTTTTTATTACAATAAATAATCTATCTTTCTTCGTTAATACTAAGCCAATAATAGTATATATGTTAGTACTATTGGAAAGAGAAAACTCTTGTACGTACTTCTTAATTTAAAATATAATTAGAAAAATATACTTACTAAAATCGATGACGTAGATTAATTAATTAAGAAGAATGCACATCTAAATAATAATTATTTTAAGACGAGCATAAACTATATTTTACTGTTTTAAAACACATTCGCAGCAAAGCTCAATATATATATATAATATATATATATATAATTTAACTGTCTTATATTTTTTGTTCTAATTTGAAAACTACCTTGATTAGATTACGTTAAAAGTCATAAAAACAATAATTATATATACGAAGTATTAAAATTTTTAATATGGAAAATACTATATTATTATGTATTATACTAATATTTATCAAGGCTGTAAAAACAATCACAGTATTAAAAAAACTAATATTTCGAGATATTTATTCTGGTTGATCTATTTAGAATTTATATAATATCAGAATTTGTCAATACTCCCAAACTTTAATATAAAAAACTCGCACATGGAAAATCAGGCAACGCAATATGTGGATATATCTTTACATGGTATATAATATGTGCAATATTATGTATCTACTAATGTATACGTATATATTAAGGTTATATTAAATCTGTAAGAACAGTCGTCACTATATTAGAAAACTGCAATATCGACATATGTATTCTTTTCGCCAACCAATACGTTTATTACAGAAATTTATTTAAAACTTGTATCATAAACAACATCATTATAGCGTTCCATGCTGATAGTTGCATATAGCAGAATAAGCAGCTTAATAAGCACTGCCGATAGCATAAGATTTCTGCTGGATGTATTTTTTTAATTATATGTTTAAAGCAAGTGTAAGCATATTTTATATTGTGATCAAACTCTATATAATCTATATTTTTTGAATAAGGATATAAAGTAATCTATTCAATAAATAAACAAAAATATCCCCAAGTTATATATTATTAGTTATATATTACTATTGAGTTATTAAAAAAAAGTATTAATAATCTATCTAATGTTATTTATCATGTTATCTGAATCCAACTTCATTTAAACTAAATAAATCAAAATATTTTTTATTTATTTATCCATATATTCTACATTATTTTCTATTAAAGAAATTAAACATTTTAAAATATCATTTCTTTTTTCTTGAATTTTATTCTGTTTTCCGATCTTTTCTTCTAATATATGAATTGCATCTACTTTTCTTTTTTCACAGTAACATCCCTTTACATAAATTATATAGTGCTCTTGATTTGATAAATTTTTCTTTTAAGTTTTTAGAAAGATATTTTAAAGCTATATGTAAAATATAAATAACTATTCTCTCAGATTTACATATTTTTATCACAATTATGCTACTTTATGTCATATTTACATGGATCAAAGTTAAATTATATACAATTGTTTAGTCAATTGAAAATATGTGAGCTACCTCTTATAGGTTCTTTTACACATTGTATTGAATTGAAATTATTTCCGACTATGTATTACCAATATCCGAGTGAACAGTATTTACATATTCGTCATCTTGAGTCAACGGCGATGGAATTGAAGTGGAACCTACCTGATAATTTACAATTAACATTAATATTAATTATTTAAATTAATTAATGGTAATTATTTTCATTAACATCATTATACATATTTCATTTTCCTTTATCTTATCCATCTTATTAAATTATAATTTTGGTATCTCACTTTTGATATGAAAAGATATTAAATGTGTTCCAATAGTTGCAAGATTTTTGATTGAACAATACTAATTGCTTAATGCCTTTTCGATATGTTTGCCCAGCGTTCACCATTTTTTGCAGCATAACAAATGTATACTTATTAAAATCAATATATTAAAAATCTTCTCAGTTCAAAAATGAGATTCCAAAGAAAGAAAATGGAATTATATATATGAATAATAACATCAGTTATAATAATTGTAATTATTTATAATAGTAATCATTAATATATTTAATTATTAATAACATTAAATAATTAATGTTATTAATATTAATTGTAAATAATCAGGAAGGTTCCACTTCAATTTCATCAATATCAACTTAAGTTGACGAACACAACTATCTAATCAGATAATGTACAACCAGAAATAATAAAAAACTTTAATAACACTGACAATGAAAACATTACTCACAGAGTAATGTTTTCAGTAAAGAGTTCAATCTATTATTATTTTTTGAAAAACTTTTATGAAATATATAAACCTTCTCAAAAACTGTCATTAAATGTCATAATCCATGATATGGCAGACTCAGAACATGTAATCCTGCAGAAATAATGAAATATGATATATTTGTGAAACAACTCTCTAAAGATTTTATTTATTTAGCTTTATACAACTATGCATTATATTTATCAAGATAATTATTATAATGTCAAAATAGCTCAAATTCTTAAGAAAAGAAGATACAAATGTGCTATAAGATTCAGAGAAATAGAATTACTTTAAAATTTTCAATCAGTAATATTCAGAAGTGGTCAACTATTTTTCATTGAAATAATGGTCTTATACAAGTATGGAATAATGGGGAAAAAAATATAAATTTGATATTAGCAATACATTGCACGATTAACAAAATACGATGACGTAAATAGACAAAATTATTAATTCAAAAGTTTATATCAATATTACATTATAATTATATAAAAGGAGTAGATTGTGCAAATAAAATACTTTTCATATTATCCAATTTTTAAAAAGACAAAAAAGTAATCCAAAGAAGTTGTAATGTTCTTTATAAATTATGTCTTATTTAATTTTTTAAAAATATATATTGAACTATATTTTAATTGTAAATTGTAAATATATATTGAATTATAATTTAATTAATATTTTATTTGAACTATTTCCTATTGTCCGGAAACCAACGCCGATTTTTGATATGAAATTCTTACCCAAAGTTGTAGTTGAAGAATGAATTATTGATTGCGCAATTACTGAACAAGTAGACTTTCTAAATACTTCTAGTTAACTTCATTCGGAAAGTTTAATGTATCAAGTATTTTTAAAATGATAAGATCATTCAAAATAAATCATCTAAATTATTTCTTCATTAAAAATAATAGGTAAACTTCTATTAGAAAAGTATATTTTAAAACTTTGATATTTTATATATTAATACCAGATATACTCGAAAAAGATTTTTAATTGGCTTCTTTGACAATTGAATTAAACCATATTTAATTTCTATTATTGTTATCTATATATCCATTCTATATATCCACTTTCATGTTCATTTTCACTTTCATCAAATACGATTCTACATTTAAATTATTTGTATATTTCACCTGGTGAATAACTCAATATAGTAATTGTTAGGGTTAGTTTATGTTAAAGGCGCGACGACGTTTCATAAGATATAACTCATGTCGCGTGATGCCAATGACGTGTAATAGTACAAAAGAAATTTTCTATTATCATTCTATCGGATAAATTTAGCCGAATCTGAAGACTGAGACGTGACCAGTCATGGTATTCAATGAAGTGCCATTCCCTAATAGATTTTGTCCAGTGTGATATATGCTTAAGCTATACGGTGTGGTATTTGTATTGCAACGAACAAGGTGTGATACTTCCATGATCAAAACGTATATTTTAATTGATAGCCATTAACATGTTGCCGCAAATGATGGCTATAGCCGTCCGATTTTTGGCGATATGTAGGCAAATGACAGCTATAGCCATCTTGCACATTTTAATTAATAAAAAAAGGAACATTATTAGTACGAAATGTACTAATGCATTTATTTGTTAATTATTCAGTAATACATCAAAAAAAAAAGATGTAACATTCCAGATAACATATCAATTGTTTTTCTGTGCGATTTTTCATACTTTAACAATTCGGAATATTTTCGCATTCAGAGACAAATGACGATTATAACAGTCATGTACCGAACGTTTCGTATATTTTACTTCACTGAGTTAAAATGTGTATTTCTATGAGGACGAACTATTTATTCTTGAAGTATTTTTCCATGAATTAAGTAGACACAGATCAATTACTCTTCTCAAAATTTAATAAATAAAAAAGTAAAATTAGCCGACAGAATATGTACACAGGTATCAGTGTATGTAAATTGATAATAATATAATAGAAAAAATATAAAGAATGCATAAACGTTTCGGTTTGCATTTAAGCCTTCTTTAGTATATAACGTTTATGTATTCTTAATGTTTATTAATATTTACATAATATTCTTTTATATTATATTATTATCACACACTGACACCTGTGTACTTACTCCGTCGGCTAATTTTACATTTTATTTTTTCATAAATTAGTAAAAATTTTTGTTTCGATATGACTGTGAGTGGTGTACATAAGTGCATATATTTCTCGCTTTATATAGGAAAAATTTTAATCGCTAAAATGAACTTTTGCGGAAAAGAGAAGAAAAAGATTAGAAAAATATTACGTGACTGCGACCTCACTGATGACGATCAAAATCTTGTTTCGGAAGAATCCGATGTTGAAGCGGACTCTTTTAGCGCCGATAGTGAGGCAACTCAACGCCGGAAGAAGAAACGTTTGATAGTGTCATCTGAGGAGACACTAGAAAATATCGATGATCCTGCCGATGACGATGGTGCAAGTTGTTCACCAACAACGAAAGATAATGAGAGGATTATCGACGATGACGATATGTGGTATGATAATAAAAAGAAATTGATTGAATTTGCATTTAACGATGGTAAATGCGGCATTAAAATGAATGCTGATAAGTATTCTAGTGCGAAAAACATTTTTGATCAGCTGTTCTCAAGAAATGTAGTTGAGACACTCGTTAGTTGCACAAATGAATATGGAAAGTATTTATTTGAAACCAAGCATTCTAGTAATTTTGTTTTACGATTGATGCAACCATGTTTGGGTAAAGGACATCATCTCTTTATGGACAATTTTTACAACAGTATCGAGCTGTCAAGAGCTGCTAACATATAAAACACACACGACCGGAACGCATTATTCTAACAGAAAAGGTAATCCGAAAGAAGTGAGATCAAAAAAGTTAAAAAAGGGCAAACATCGAAATGGCGGGATAAACGGAATCTTTTTTTTTATAACAACAAATCATCATCCCGAAATGGTGGAAGTTACCAACAAATTTGGACAAAAAAGAATAAATCAAATGATATAGCTGAATATAATTTGAATGTCAGGAGTTGACAGATGTGATTTCGATCTTATCGAAAATCGATAAGATGGTATAAAAAACTTATTTTTCATCTTTTAGACCTTTGCATTTGGAATTCCTACTTCATCTATCAACAGTTTCATAAATCAACGACATTCCTACAATTTAGAGATTTGCTGATGCAATCATTGATCACATTCCCTAATACTGAGATTTCTGGAAAGAATTTAGCGGCATTAACATCTAGGCGTGCTCGACCGAAACAAATAAATTCATTATCATTGACATCCACAGGTTCTACACAACAACATTTCTTGGAAAAGATCCCCCAATCTATTAATTTTCAGCATAAAACTTATTTTCTACATTGCAGACAATGTTTGGCTAACAAAATTAGAAAAGAGACTTCATATAGATGTAAAACTTGTCCGCAAAACCCACCATTGTGTCCAAAATGCTTCGAATTCTTTCATTTACAGTAAAGCTGATTCCTTTATAATGCTTTTTCTTGTACGTTTATAATTTGTTTCTTGAATTTTAATTTGTTTCTCGAATTAATTTTTATTTTATTTTTATTATTTTGTAAGCAAAATAAATTGCAAATGATAATTTTGTTTGAAACTGATTTTCTTGTGTTAAGCTTAGGCCTTTTTACTCTCTTTTATTCATAGAAACCATTTTTGAATTAGTAAAGCAAATTTAATATAGTCGTCACGACGGTCATAGCCGCCATTTGCTTTGGGAAGAGAAAAACATGTCGTAATAAGCAAATGACAGTTACAGCCGGCGAGAGTTTTCAAGGAAAAACTGTGATAAAATGTGATAATTTTCGCTTCCAAACATACGAATGACGCTCAATTTTATATGGCAGTCATGAACAATTGAAAAAAAAAAGTGTTTCTGAGTACGATTGTCAAATTAAAAGTGTGCGGCAACGTGTTAATTATTAATGATCGACATTCATAAGCCAAGTTCTGTGTGTGTTCTTAAAAAAGTTATTTAAAATAATGATTCGAAGAATTTCTCTAATATATTTCTGTCGAGATCATTAGATAAAAGTAGTTTTTTCATTGTTAAAAACAATAAAAAGTTTTAAATTGGAATAATTAAATCCTTATTTGCTCAAAAACTTCATGTTGAGGAATGTTTTTTGTATAAAAAGTTACCAAAGGTAATAGTTCAACAATATATTAGTTACCGAGTATGTATTGTGTTTAAATATTATAAATAATATATTTTGAATTGAGAATGAACTATAACTTTTTTCTTTTAATTAGTTTAATAACTTAGTAATGATTAATGAAGGGTAATAAAAAGCTCAATAAGTTCAAAAGAAGCAAATGGTAAATATATTAATTTGTTAATTTTTAGTTATTTAATTAATCAATTCTGTTTTCCTACAATCTTTATGATTTTTAACAGTATTGTCTGATTTATGACATTAAAGAAAATAATTAGTATATTATACTCATACTACTTTTTCTTATACTGTTTAAAAGATATTTTAATTGAGTTTTTTAATATTTTGTACTCCTACCATTATTTGATATAATATTGGGTTAGCAACTAAGTGATTGCGGAAAGTGTAAAATCCATCTTTCGACAAAATCCGCAATCACTTAGTTGCCAACCCAATAGAACTACAATTCAAGCACGTTTTTATAAATTTTTGAAAAGAGTAGATCATAAATGTTTCAATTTGTTAATTTGTTTTATTTTAATATAAATTAAATTTGTTTTTAACATTTTAAAGTTCTCTGCGTTATGGTACCTATAGAAAAGTAATCTTTTGGGGTTATATCTGGACAAGTATAATAGTAATCACACGTTTCATCTATCTGTTTCTTGGCGTACAATACAATCCTTTTTCATACCTTTACCTATTATATGAAGCTTGCCAACCTGATATCAGAATAATAGAAAAGTCTTTCTCTTGGTCAAAATTTTTTATGAGTTAATCAACTCAGAGCTTAATATATTTTAAATACTACGATGTGGTGTTTCGTTTTTGTTTAATTTTCCAGTTTTGTAGAGAATACATGAATTGATTACACACATTTTCATTTTCCATCATAAAAAAACAATATCTCCACCATATAAAAGATTTTATAATTGTTAACGAATTGTTAACAAATCATTTGGGATCATTATTAGTAAAATGTTCTTCTAACTTTTTTGCCAATTCTAATAATTCATTTAATATGTTTAAAATAAAATGTTGGTTTGACTTACTAAAAATTTGTAATGGGTTTTCTTCATTATTATTATTATTTGAATCGTAGGAGTGTGTAAGTTCATCTTTCTTTAAATTTTAGTAACTATTAATCAATTCAATAATATCTTTTCTTCCAGAATAAGGCAAATTCATTAACATTTCATTAGCAAATTTTTTTAAAATCTTTTAGTTTTTTCTATATTTGTTGATGTAATTTTTCCCATAATTTTGGCATTGTACAAGAAAAATGAATTTCTAAATCTATTAAACCTATCATTATTAGCTTTAAATTCATACTTATGTGATTAATTATAAGAAACACATTCAAGTCCTTTTACATGTTCATAAAATTTAAGTGCCTTTTGTTTTATCACATAACTATTCAAAAGCATATTTTTGAAACAGTTATCTTCTATTCATATCGACTTTTTCATTTTATTCATTAAAGTATATTTTATTCAAGCAGTTCTATTCAAATTTAATGAAGATCCAGAAAAAACTGTAGCTCTTATTTTGTTTTTATTTCTTTTTATTGTTCAGATTATTGACTCATTTAAATTTATATCCTTAGCAATGGCTACTACTTTCTCGTTAAATTTCAACCTATTTAAAATCTTAATTTTTTGTTTTTAGAATTTTTCTCTACAACAAGAATCATGATTAAAAAAAAACTGAATTTTTATACAATGTAAAAATTATTATTATTATTATAAAGTTAGATTTATATCTAAATTATATTCTAATAGTATATTTTCAAATCTTTTTAAAATGCTTAACTCTTAAAAAAAATTTTTTTTGAAGACAGATCTATTTCTTACAAAAAAATTATTTGACACTTTTTTAAGTTATCATTACCTCGAACAAATTAAGAGTACTTCATTAAGATCGTTCCATTGGTTCCTTACTTTATATATACTATAAAACAATGACTTTATAATATAATGTACTACTAGACTGTGAAAATGTAAATATATATACCATGGTATACGAAAACGCCATAATTTTTTAAAATTAGTTATTTTTTTTTAAATGTTCAGGGCCTCCAAACTTTAATATAAAAAGCTTGCACAAATTTTAATTTAACACATGGAAAATCAGGCATGATATCTTTACTTGATATTAATATTATGTATCTACTAATATTTATTAAGAATTTATTAAATCTCTCATCATTATATCAGAGAATTCCAATATCAACATATTCATTCTTTTTATAAATACGATCTACTTAGTACTTTAACATTAACAATACTTATATCATTGTTTAGCACAAAACTAAGTTAAAAAAATTAAGTAGATAAGGATGAATCTTTTATTATCGATAAATTTATAGTCATGAAATTTTATAACGAAATTCAGTTTCCAAATATATTTAATACATTAATAGTTTGTAAGAAAAAACTTGCTAGTTATAATTAATATGCTATTAGTATTATACAAAGTGTCCTAGAATAAGAAAGAAATATTTTAGGGGACTTAAACACATTTAAACAATAAAAAAATCCGTCTCCTATTTAATTTCGTTTTCGAATTATATAGCAAATTTGATTTTCAACAATTTCTATTTGATTATTTTCATAAAAGATATTCAAAATTACTTCTTCGTATCTGAATATAAGTCTGTAGACATCTTACGAATGACTGCCTTACTCTCTTCTCCATATATTTAGCTATATAATCAAATTCTACAATTGTAAACATTCTTATTGGTTAAAAAATAAAATTGTTCATATAAGTGACATTAATATCTTCATTTGAAATATTTCATTAGAAAAATTTAATTTAAAATTAATTATTCTGTTTTTATATCTCAAACTTTGACAATACTACACTCATTGACTAAAAGTAAATGTGATCCAAAAGGTAATATAATATGTACAGAATGTTTGTGTCTTGTAGGTATATTTTAATTCCATGCTTCTTTTCCATGTATATATATTTTTTTCTGCGGCTGTATAAATGCAATAGGTATTTGTAGATGAGGAAGGTATATTTTTAGAATGAGTTCCGGATATAATGAGAAAGGTAAAATAAATTCATTATTATAAAATTCTCTTCCAATATAAACAATCAAAAGATTTTTTTTTGTTCTTAGAATATATGTAATTACTAGAGAGGTGTGTGATTACTGACATAAGCAAATGCACAATTTTAACAAATACTTTGTTTTATACTACTTTTTTAACTTTAATATTAACACCAGATTAAATAAATTTTGGAACACAACTATGTTGGAAATAATGCCTTTTGAGCGCTATTATTTTTGAAAATAATAGATATTAATGCCATTAAGTGAATCTTTCATAAAATGTATTCAAATGATGAATGTTATGAATTATATTCTTATTTTTTTACTTTCAGTCTTCCATCTACATATTCCGACATTAACTACGTTAGTGCACCTCGAACGACGTGCTCAGAACGAACGTGGGATGAGAACTGGTGCAACAACGTGGTGACCGTCAACTGGCTTTAAATTGTAATGCTATTTTATTGTATAGAAAATATTATAAGAAATAATATTTAGGATATAAAAAATATCGATTAATTCTTTGTTTAGGTTCGAAATTTAATGTGAAATAATAATATATATAGTCAGATCATTAATAATCTGATTTTAATGAATTTGTAGCGTCGTAGCATATTAACTTGCTTCTTTAACTTTTTTATGTGTCATCTTGCATATCAAGGTACGACCAATCCTTGAAAGTCTGATTAAGCCATTTTTTCTATCATTACGATCCATTCGCCTTTATTAAGCGCGAATTACTGCAAGCTTTCTTTAATTCCAATAGCTAGGTTAAGAAGCGTGTACAAAAAGGAGAGAGACAGAGGCGCGCCTCTGTTTACTGCTATTGTTTACTGTTCTTCTTTGTGGTTATGTAATAAGAAAGTCCGTTAAGCAAAATTCGGAAGCTGGAGGGAATTTGTAACGCATGATAATTCGAAGCACTAGAGCTATCGTATATAAGCATCAGTCCAACAAACTTCGAGTTGAAAAGGTTATCAGTATCCTCAGGCGGAACGGTATTAGTTTGACGAGTATGAAAGAAACTGCCAGCGTATTCCTTGACACGCACGCGAATCGGAGGATGTCCCAGAGCAATGATTAATAAAAGGTAGCTCGCGTATCGCTTCCAAAACGGTGAATGCCCCCTTTCATGAAGGATGAGGTAGTACAAATAATTAAATCGCTCAAGAACGATAAAGTTCCAGTGTCGGATTTAATATAGAAATATGTATGCGAAAGAGACTTCACTGCTATCCCGAGTCACTTCGTAGAATTGTTTAACGAATACCTTCGATGGAGTATCTATGTTTCCCTTTATCTGGGCAAAGAGTTCCTTAAGAGTACTCCTGAAGGGAGATGATAAAGACGTGAAAGATCCAAAATCATATCATCCGATATGTCTACTTCATCCATTTTACATTATCTATAGTAAATATAAAAAGTATTCGTACAACAATGAATTTTAACAAAAACTTTGTAAAACTTTGTTTATTACAAAAAATGTTATATATATATATATTTTCAGAAATCTCTAAAACGAATGTTATTAAAAAATAATTATTTATTTATATTTGTTATGAAAATATAAACAAATTTTTTAAAATTAGCAGAAAATGTATGCATAATAAGTATTCGTACATTTTTATGTTTACAACATACATAATACATAATACATAAATGTAATAAAAAAGCAATTTATTTGCAATTTTAGTATCTAGTGGGATTCCCTTTAGATTGTATAAGTCTTTATGGCATCGAATTTACTAAATTTCCTGTTTTAGTATTAGAAATTTTATTCCACTCTTCTAAGAGCGCATTTTTTAAAATCTTTTTTCGAAGAAATGATCACGAATTTTTTCTTCGAAATAACCTAATAAGTGTTTTATAACGTTCAAATCTGAAGGCTATGGAGGGATTTTTAATTGATTTGGTACATTATATAGGATCCATTATCGTCGATCATTATTTTGTAAAAACTCATAATTGTCCTGTAATTCAATCTTATTCGCACTGACTTGGATGTGTTAAAATATTAATATACAATTTATGATCCATGATACCATCATCTTCATAAAATGGAGAGATCCAACCGCATTTGCATTTATGCTGCACTAAACTGTGATCGAGCCTTCTCCATGCTTTACGGACGCCTGCAAATTGTTTTTCCCATATTCGCTATTTTTTTCTCTATACAGTACATCGTCCATCCGAACTAAATAAGTTAAATTTACTTTCATTAGTAAATATAACACAATTCCAGTACTCCATAGGAACATTGACATATTTTTTCGCAAATTCTAATTGTTTTTTTCTATTAACTTCATTTACAAAACTTTTTTCACGGGCTACTCTATATATTTTCTATGGTATACTGCAGCTCGTAAAAAATTATGCACTGTACTATTGCACACATTAATATTAAGATTATTTTTAAGTTTAGCAATGATGTTTCCTGTACTTATCTTCGGATTTTGTTCTATTTTTCGAATTATCCATCGACTAGTGTCCTCATTTATTTTACATTTACATTTGTTTCATGGATTATTTTTTAAAGTTTTTCGGTCCCCATATCTGAATCGTGGACCATGGTTTATTTTCAATTTTAGAAATTTCATTCAATGTTTTGGATTTATTATGTAAACTTATAATAATTTTTCTTTTTTCTTCAGTGATTTCCTTCCTTGCCTTTTTGTCCCATTTTATAATTATCACTGTCGACTATATGAATTTAGAACACTATCTGTATTGACAACATATCTAAATATACTGATCCTAAATATATTGATAAAAGATGTATTATCTTATCTTGTATAATGTTACCAATAAAGAACTATATGAATACTTATTATACGTATATTTTCTGATAATTTCTGAAAATTTGTTAATATTTTCATAACAAATATAAGTAAATAATTATTTTTTAATAACATTCGTTTTAGAGATTTCTAAAAATGTGTATATATTTTTTGTTAATATTTTTTTATAATAAACAAAGTTCTACTAAGTTTTTATTCAAATTGACTGCTGTACAAATGCTTTTTATACTCATTGTATGTACTAGAGTACAGATCCAATGTAAAACTTACCATTTCTAAGGAAAAATATGCCAAGAGCAGTTTTTATAAATTCTACGATTCCTTCATTTCAACGATTCAGATAATAGTAGAAGAAACCCAGAAGTTATTGACAAAACTTATAAAATATAATCCATTATTGATATTTTATTGATACGTTTCCAAAATGCATAACGACAAGGTCGATACATCGTTGTAGATGAAAGCTTGATATTATAGAAAGATAAACTGTCATTCAAACAATACATTCCTTTCAAACGAGAAAAATTTGGTATACAAACATTTGTTTTCACAAAAAAAGAAAAACTTTTCGTGAAATAAAAGAAGACATTATATCAGGATTATTAGAAAAGTATTATACACCAATAGAAAATTCTCGCTATAGAAGAAGCAAGTCAAAAAAAAGTTGCCGGTTAGAATGAAATCTAGATATTTCCCTTTAAAAATACCTCCAACAAAAAAAATGCCACCCAACAAAACGATGTGCACTGTGTAAGAAGTCAAATGTTCGTAAGGAAAGTAGTTATTTTTGTAAAAATTGTAATGATCATATTATGGTGTATTACACCATGTTTCGAATTGTATTATTCACTTGAAAAATAAAATTGTTTGTTTAAAAAAAATAACATATTCTTCTTTTAACATTGCTAATTTCCATCGTATATACAAATGCAATAATTTACTAAGTAAATTTTATCCAATACTATTGACGAGATTGTATTGAAAACAATCCGTGAGGTATCTCATAAATTGTGACAGTTCTTCTAGAGAACTTACATAACAATCGGTTACCGAAACTATTCAGTTTGAAGATGTTGTGATTGAGCTAGATCTTCATGTGTTAGCCAGCTTCGACATGACGTAGAATATCATCATTGAAAAGAACGTGTTGCAACATAATCTGCTAATCATAATGAACGCGATAGGAATAAAGCTGCAGTTTATCGCAAGACTATTCGAAGAATTCAACAAAATGGATCCACTCCAATGTCTCACCATAGTCAGCATCGATGAGACAATATAAGAACCTTTCCAGAAACTACTGAGACGAATCAGTTATATGATAATGACAGATAACAATATAAGGCGCACTGCACAGGTAAAATGAAAATTGTTCCGTTACGCCTTGAGCACAGTTTGACAGAGATATTTATTTAAAGCGCACTTCTGGGAGTGAAATCTCACTCTATAGATATCACCTTCTCTGCAAATAGGTTCAATACTGAGAGATTATACTTTCCGTAGGTCTACGAATATACATGAACTATGAAGATCTACAATAGATTGCTTGGATCAATTAGTATTGTATCTAATCACAATTAAAACAGAGATGAAATGGTACTATAAATATGGTATATAATTTCTGCTTAGAATTATGATGGTAAACGTTTTTATGATTTACAATCTAACAACAGCAAAAAATATAAAAATAAGATAATACAGAAAACCATTAGTTCAAGAGTTATTACAGATCCCTACAAACATAACAGAACCTTCTTTTGCATCTAAGCAGCATCAATATTGGAGTTAAAGAAAATGCTTCTAGAGTAAGCATTAGATCTGCATATGTATTATAGAAACAACTTTGTGGACTAATCAAAAGCAAAAAATGATATAAAAAAAGTAATAACTTTTTGTCCAAATTGTCCCAACCAACTGCAGTTGTGTATAACATATTTTAAAATTGTCTATACAAAATAATTTTCTAAATACAAACATTTGTATTAGTGTTTCATTTTTATAATAATTTACTTATTATATCATTTTAAATATCTTTCCGAATACCATCCACCAAAATCCTTCGTAATTAGTCAATATAATCGCATATTGTATGCAGCATGTTTGAATTTATAACTTTTCCACGTATCTGTACCAGGATCGTACCCAAATTCTGATAAATCGATAGCTAAGTAATCACATTACACTGCCACTCATACGAACTTAAAATTTTCCCATTGGAAATGCGTTGAAACATTACCGTATATCATCATCTTTAAGAAGTAGTATTCAAACTTATAACTTTTATTATGATAATAGATATATTTGTAGTATTTTAATTAAATAACTTAATATCAAAGAGAAATCTAAATATAAAAACCTATTATTTATTCCATCCTTTATATATCTTATAGTTATCATATAACCAAGTTTTTATGTATCAACCTTTATCGAGGTCAGAGATAAATGCTTTTTGTTCAAGGAGAAATAATTCTCCTCCCCTACTGTAATATTTTTTATTGTTATATTTTAGATTACCCTCATTTAAGTATATTTACTCCTTCAGCATTTTTAAATATTATAATTCAAATGAGCGATACATATAAAAATTCTTCATTTATAAACTAAGCGTAGTAATGTTATAAGCATTAGTAACAACTGTAAAAATCCTGGAAAGTTGTAATACAATGAAAGAGAAAATCCATTGAAGAAAATCAAATGAATAAAGTAGATATAAGAAACAATAAAATTTATGAGTCAAATTTGGATATCTTTGATTTAAACTCTTAAGGTATGATTATAAAAAATAATAAGAAAAAAATTGCAATTTTGTTCTCAAAACTATAAACAGAATACGCAATGACAACATCTCACCTATTTATTTAATGTTCGGCGACTCGTCAAGTTAACCACGCTAATAATGATCACGTGGTGACAACGATCATGATAACAATGAGAAAAGCCATATGAAGGAAAATGTATATCGACTCGACTCAGTAAATACCATAAATAGCTTAGCTGCTGCTACAAAAATCAAAAGATGTAGAATATGTTTTGTTGATTATTCTGAGAACTGGATTGCTATAGCTGATGTTGAAAATTAGTTATTAAGATCTCACAATGAAAAAATGGAGTTCACGTTATAGTTGCATCCGTTCCAACTGCCTCTGATTATTCTGTGGACTGTGATGCCAGCGAATTAATATCACATACACAATAATTTATGATATTTCAGTAGTTCAGTAAAGAAAGTTTCTTCTTTCTTTTGTTGTTGCTACCAAAATATTATAACTGTGAAAAAGATAGACATTGTTATCAGGATAGAGAAACATATGGATTATAAAGAATTGTATTCCAGATACAGATTCTTACCTTTTTAGAAACGATTGCAATTTTCAAAATTGCAATAAACGTTACTATCTTTGAGCATTGGTCCAGCTTAAAAAACTTAAAGAAATCGTTGTAATTAGTGGAATAGACAGTGATATAATATATATTAAAATAATTGAAACTATCGATTTAATTCATATCTAGCGATTTTTTTGACTTACCAACGAAAAATAATGATCTCATGCTATGATTTTTCACCATTTGGAATCATCATTTTTCAATTTTCTACATTGAAAGAGATGTGTTAAACAGTTTACCTAGGCTTAAGAAGAAAAGTGTCTCTCAACCCAATTCAATACCAATTTCATAATTGTAATATTTATAAAAATAATTCATTTGTTAAAAATAATTTTTTGCGTTTGGAGAAACTGACAAACACTATAGTGGATGCTGATATTATTGATTATTATAATGTATGATTCATATTCATCCACCCAAATTCGTTAAAATCTTGTAATACTTTGCTGCCACTTGACTCTTCTGTAGTACTGCAGAAATTAATTAATTAAATTAAGAACAAGAATCTGGTATAATTCAATAATAATATATATTATAATTTATTAAAAGAGACGAAATGTAAAAGAAAAGAAAATATTACATAATATACATAGATATGGCTATATATATATATACATATATATGGATAATATACATAGATGAGTAAATAATGGTTCATTAAGCACTACCTCTATTATTAGAATATAGAACATAAAATATAAAATAAAATATAAAATAAAATAATAAAATATATATAATATATAATATAGAATAATAGAATGTAGAATAATAGAATAATAAAATAGGATCTAGTAGATCATAATGAGAAAAACTTGATTAAAATGAGGAGAGAAGATTCATGTTATGACCATCTACAGTCACAAATATAGTACAAAATTTTCTTTTAAATATAATATTTCATGATTTATTATTCATAAAATATTTAAATTAATAATACATTTTTTAAAATAATATATATTTATAAGTCTGCATGTCAATATTTTTCAGATCTTCGTCACATTGATCTTTAAAAATTATTTTTCTTAATAATTAGTACAAGAAATTCATTATACCTTTTGGAATCACCTTTTTACGTTTCCATCTATTATTCTCCAAATTGATAGTGCTACTTTTAAGTCATAGATACCATATATTCTTCTACCAATTTTTAACAATTACGATCCTCTTCGATTCTCTTTGATCAAACAAATTGACAAAAATTTTTCTTTCTTAGAAAATTAAATTTTAATTTAAGAAACTATATTATGTTACTCTTTTCGAATCTTTGTTCGTTGGTATAAATTTCGTGTTATACCGACTCTTTTTATTCCTCCACTCCGACTAGCAAGAACTGTTGTCTAGAGAGATAGCTAAGTTAGAAACGATATAACAGTTATTTCAAAATTTACTTTTGCAAACAGGACAATTCAAAAGTAAAGAATGAAAAAAGAAAGAGAATAAAAAATAGATCTTAGGAAAACATCAACACTCGCAATAATCTCTTTGAACAAACGTCTAATTCGATTTATAAAAAAACCAAAAGTACAAATATAAATACATTATATCTAATTGTATTATCTATATACTGTATTATCTAACCTAATTGTTAGTTAGTTATCAGAACGATATTTGAATTTTGAGAATTTTTCCACATAAATTCAGATAAATCAGTGATAAATTCTAATTAATTTGATCATCTAATTGAAAACGATTTATTTTCTCTTTGAACAAGAACGACGATGAGATTAAATATAATTAGATTTTTTTTTTATTTATCCTTGCATTATCATTAGATCACTTTGTATCACTTTTTAAAGATATATTTGTCGAAGGAGACAAATAGAAAAAAAATCAAGTACGAAGAAACTGTGTTATCACTGAGAAAAAAACAGTTCTTTCGTCTTTACTTAGTAGTTCCTTATTGAATAAAGACATGAATGTCTCTCTCTTTCTTTCTTTCTCATTCTCTCTTTCACTTCCTGTCTATCTTTTTTGTAGAATAACAAATATAAAAAAGAAATGAAGACAAAAATATAACGTATGCTACCTCATAATTACCGTCTCGTCAATAGCTTCATTTCTATTGGTTGATGAGACTGCAGTCATTGGCTGATTATCACATTGAATTGGATTCGGCTACTCATGCGCTCACTGTCAGCTCCAGAGGCATAAACAGTTTAAATCTCCAATTTTTTTTTTTTCTGAACATGCACTTCTAGAAATTCCTTGAATCTTGGCATCAGCCAGACGTCATCTCTTGATGCAATAGACCTTTTGTTTATATATAGATCAATCAAAATCCTAGTAATAAAATTATTATCCAATAGGATGCAAGTTTCATAGATGATCAGCTAAATGCATTTGAAGAGAGGGAAAATTAGAAAGAGTCAATCAGAAGAAAAATCAAGTCGGTCATTATTCGTCTTTCTGTAAAGTCGGTAACTAAGTAGGTACTAAGTAGGTACTAAGTAAGTAATAAGCCTATATATAGTATTCTATGATGCTGGCAATTAAGTAATAAGTTCGTATTCTGAAATCTGTAAAATCAATAACCAAGTAATAATTCGGTATTTTGCATTTTGTAAAATCAATAATTAACTAATAATACGTATTCGGTATTTCATAAGATCAATAACAAGCTTGTATTCCGAATTTGATCAAGAACCTGATAAAATTTATAAGACTTTATCCAAAAATCAGTGATTATTCAATTAGTAAAGCGGCCTTTTCTCAAAATACTTTTTTCCAAGCCAATGGATATATCTAAAAAAACCGCTAAATGAATCGTTTTCAAATTTATACAAAATACACAATAGAAAATTTACACAGAATCCTACTTTTTTTAAATCGATCTCAATTTTTTAATAATTATGTAGAAATGATGATTTTTCTTATAAATTTTCCATGTTTGAGTTTCAATTCGTCATCATCTTGTAAAAAATAATCGATTTTAAAAGTCCAACGTGATCAACGACTCGTTTTTGGTGTTACCTTGAACCGTTTCATTTGTTGATTCCAAATTCATCGTTTAGCTGAAGAATGTCCATCTCCGAATATCTTCAAACAAAAATTCACTGTTTGATGGTAGCCATATTTTTTGATATTTTTGGATAATCTTTTTGAAAGCTCTCAATACCTTTAAATAAAAAAAATACGTCTCATTTCTACCAATCGTTTCTGAGAAAAAAATTTCGAATTTTACAAATTTTTCAAGCTTCTAAATGGATCGTGATTCCTTCAAGACATGTGTCCATTTAAGAGTAAAACTATCAGGAATTGGTGTTGAGAGTATTTCTTATTTGTGGACACTATATAAAAGTAATTATTTGAGAGCACGGTTCAACTATATGAGAACTGATTACGTTGTAGCATACTCTCAAATGGAAACAGAGGAATAGCTCTTGGAGAGTTCTCTTGGAAATACAAATAAGCTTGGTATTTTGATCCTGGCTATACACATCTGTAAAAAAATATTCGTTAATAAATCCATCAGATTTTCTAAATTCATTATGTCAGAATTAAAATTTAAATATTGCATTCCATTTAGATTTTGAATTAAGTGTATATTCTTTGATCCTTAAGGAAGCCATTCACTTGAAAATTTTTAGCGACAGTTGTTCTCGAAAATATTCTCCAGTTTTGTATCCATTTGAGAGCAACTTTTAAATTAATTAATATTTAATATTTTAAATTAATATTTTTTTCGTTTCATAATTCAGCTTTAAGGAATGAAATCAACCTTTGAAAAAAAAAAAATCAAAATTTTTTTTTCATGAAATATCTCAAAAACAATGAAAGATATCTGAAAATAGCTTGAATAAAAATTGCATCGTTTCGTTGTGCCTACTAAAGTTCGTAAACAGAATTTTTGAAATATTCATGATTTTTGAGTTACCTATCTATAATATAACATTTTTATTAAAAGTGAGTGGTAAGATAAATCACTCTAAGTTAATGATTGTTACGCGAGTCCTCGTTTTTACATTGGACATGATATTCAAAATATCGCTCTTAAATAGTTATCAAAAAAGCTAATCGTACTATTAATGTACATCATCAACCAATCATTTAAACTTGCACATTTTCTTCAGCACTGGAAAACAGGGTTAGTCATTCCTATACATAAATCAAGGAAAAAGTCGATAACCAGGAAATTATAAACCAGTAAATCTACTTCTAATCATGAATAAAATAATGGAAAAAATTATTTTATTTTAGAAAGACAAAATAGGCATGAAACATTGCAGATATCACCGATTTGATTTCAGAGAGAAACACAACACAGTCCAACAAACGAGAAAAGTTAACACATATTAGCACAACAGATATTAGTACAAATTTTAACAAAGGAAATAAAACTGTACTACTATTATTTGATATTAAAAAAGCCTTTTATAAGATCTGAAAATTTTATTTACATAATTTATAATATTTGTTAAATAATACGTTTTAATAATTGGATGCTTTTAACAATTAATAATTTTCTTGTTATATAACATGAAGTTATTGTCATTTCTTTAATTTATCAATCTAGCACGTCCCATAAGTTCTCAATCGAGTTAAGATCTGATAACAGAAGTGGTGGATATAATACTTTTGGATAATATACTTTGGAAATATTCTTACACAATATATATATCTATTGAACATAGGATTGAAAAAAATAATATTTTTTATATAAATAGTAAATTTGCGAAATAAATTTTTTATTTTATTTTTTGTATTCTTTAATTGTACTGTTACCAAAACTTTCATTAAAAATAATAAAATGTACAAAAACATAATAGAAACTCACAATTAATTCAAAATATTTACATGAACAAGAGCTAAAGAATCCAACAAAAAAGAGATAAAATCCAGACTTTGCCCTCTGTGTGGTTGTCCAAATTGAATGAATGAATTCTTTACTTTTGCGAAGTCAAATTTGATGTCTAATGAAAATAGTTAGCAAAAAGGAACAGTGATTTTTCTGGAGCCTTAAATATTTGTTTTCTTTTCTTAGTTATATCTACGTTAAGTAAGTTTTGCGATCTAGATTATGTTAAGCTGCTCTAGAAAAATATATTCTAATTCATTTTCATTAAGATCTTTGTTGTCTTGTTGAGTAATTTCCATGATATAATTATAGATATTAAAAAATTAATTATAGATATTATATCTTCTTCATTTATAGTTTGTATCAAAATGTGAGAATAAATTATATGATTTGACTACAAATATATTCTCATATTACACGAAGAAATTCTTCAGTAGAAGAAAAATGTAGACATACATGCGTCTGGAATCTAAATAAATCATATACTTTTAAAATATATTTATGTATAAATGAATTAAACTTAACCAAAATAGTCACGTATACAAAGACTTTATACAAAATTATTTGAAATAAATCCATTAAACGAGAAGATAAGATATCCCAAATCCTTGTTGTACAATCTATAGAAGATATGATTAATTATCTCGTATCAAGACAAAATATTGCATCTATTAGTTGTCCTTTATGTCCATAAAAATGTCTCATTATTTTTTTTATATTTAAATCAATTAAAATCACTGCAAAATCTTTTAATGCAAGTTTAGAAATTATATTCAATTCATTATGATTTGTAATATCACATCCATTCTATTGATTCAGGTAGTGTTATAGTAGTCATTTTAACTTTGAATGTATCTTAATTTTATATAATATTTAATTTAAACAAAAATTTGAGATACAAAAAATATTTCTATTTTCTATTAAAATTTACTTACCATTCTTAGATTTGAAACCTTAAAATTTTATTAAGAAATCCCTTCTAGCAATAATTTCTATTTAAAACATTTATCACTATGTCCCTTATCGAATTTTTATGCATTTCACGTTTATTGCCATAATAACAAAATTTTCACATTTGGTAAGGCACAAGTAGCATTACGATTATTTTTAAACCTTTCTGATAATTTATGATCATCCATCTTTAATAAATCATAAGACAACGTAGTAACTGTGCCTAGACCAGAATGAAAAGCTACTATATAGCTCTATTCCTTTTCTATAGATTTTCTGCAAAATTTTTTTTTAAATTTATCAAGAAAGCATTCAATTTTCTATGATTCTAACGTTTTTCTTAATCGCTTTTTTATTAAAAGAAAATCTTCCTAGACTCTTATTAAATTATTAAAATAATAATAGTAAAAAATATTTTAAGCAAAGAATCAATTTTTAATGAAATCTCTACAGTTAATATATTATTGCTATTGTTACTATAAAAACATATTATTGTTGACAGCTCGAAATAGCTCTGTCATATTTTTATTTGATAAATAGTTTAAACTTAAATAGCACCAAAGTGAACTTTGTTTAACTTGGCTTTCAATCTTTCTCTGATTCCAAAATACAATATATATGCTTAAACTTTCTGTAACCATAATACAATGGTCGTCGTTACAAAATATAATCTACATTATAGCAACCTAATTTTGGATCAATTAAAAGATTGTTTCTATTTAAGATTATTCTATTAAATTATATATAATTTAAGATTATGCAATATAATTTTTTCCTCATATAGACCTATGGCTATAATATCTATCATAGTTATTTGCTTTAAAGCTATGATATTTCTATTCTATTCCTTGAATATATAAATCATATTCATTATTTTCAAATTTTACAGTTGTAAATATCCCGTATTAGTTATTGAATACAACATTATCCATATAAATATGAATATATGTCAACGTCATTATTTGAAATATTTCATTAGAAAAGTTTAATTTTAAAATTAATTCTTCTGTTTTTACATCCTAAACTTTGAAGTTATTATTCTTATCGACTGAGAGTAAATGTAATTAAAAAGGTAATATAATGTGTATAGAATATTCATGTCCTTTGTAGGTATGTTTTAATTCTTTACCTTTTCTCCATGCATATACAATATTTTCTGCAGCTGCATAAATGCGACAGGTATCCGCAGATAAACAAGATATACTGTTAGGATAAATTCAAAACACACTGAGAAAGTTAAAGTGTGCTCATCCATAATTAAAAAATTTGTTTCCACAGTAAGTAACCAAAAGATTTTCTTTTTTTTGAATATATCTAATTACTATGGATATGTGATTACTGGCGTAACCAAGTACACAATTTCGCACAGATATTTTCCTTTGTACCATTTTTCTAACTTTAATGTTTACAACGAATGAGATATATTAGGATACACAACTACGCATAATAAAATGATGCCTTATAGGCGCAACCATTTTTGTAAGTAGTAGATACTAGCTCCACTATACGGATCTTTTATGAAATTTATCTAAAAGATGACGTCACAAGATGCCCGCTAAATTATAAATTCATAATAGAGAACTACATGTCCGTTTGTTTTACGAAAAAGTTTAATGTAACTATATTAAATATTACATTGTCGATGTACTATCGTTGAAGATATTCATTTATTATAGAATATCTCTGAGATTGATTGGATACAAGAAGTATCCTTTCGATAAAAATATTTAACGAAAAGTTCGCCATTTTTATCGATTTCGTATATATATAAGTTTAAACGAAGGTTTTAAACGTTAAGAACTTTTTTTACATTATTTTTTATTAAATTCTATAATTCTACGCTTTTCATCAAAATCTCTCTCATTCTTTCTTTCATTCTCTCTTTTTCTCTCTCTTTCTTTCTTTCACTTGCAATTTTTCTTTTACGAAATACATTTGTCAGATCGATTTAAATAGCATTTGAACACAATGTCGGTTTAATAGTGAAAGCTACTTAAATAATGAAAGAATGTTATTTTGAATTAGAAAATTTTTTAAAAATCGAACTAAAAAATGCATTCTTTATATTCCGATAAATCTTTAAGAAAATAATGATATTTAAATATACATATTATATATTGCAACTTGTAACTCTTTGGGAATTTATTCATTTCGTTAAAAAATATACCTTCGTAATGTTCACGATTAAGCCGACAAAATTATGATAGTATACGATATCTACATAATAAAGCGTTATTTTCATTCGTTCAATAACAAGAAATATATAGCGAGACTCGATAAATTGTCAAATATTATTTCAAATAAGAACTTAACGAATATTGAATTACTTTTAATATCATTTTCTATCCTTTTTAAACAAGATTTATTACATACATAACATATTTCTTAATATCGATGAATTTTTCTTTAATAATATTAAGATAAATAAATATAATAAATAAATATAATAAATAAATATATATTTAAATAATAATAATTAAATAATAATTTACAACATTTTTCATATCAAAGTAAAAGAGTCTAGTAAATAATTATTTCTAAACGATAAAGAAAAAATGACGTATGTGTCTATATTAATACAAGAAATATATATATAAATAATGATTTTATAAATAATGATTTTTTTTAACATATTCACAATGTTTAAACAAATAAAAAGAAAAGGTTTCTAATAAATAATTATTTATAAACAATAATGAAAATAATGATATATATATATATATATATATATATATATATATATACATAAGTTATTTAATGAATATATGCAATTGAATGATTCCAACCGATTAAATAAAAAAATAAATAATTTATCTCAAAATTACTGCACTTCGATTTGCCTTTCCTCCATCTCATACATATTAACCAATAAACGTGATATTGGAATTTCACCAATAGTCTCGTGAAAAAACAAACGTTCGACAGTTTTCGAGGAAACACTTCTTAGATAACCAACCAACAGCATCAGACTACAGATTCTACCCTGTGGTGAATATCTTGATCTCATATAATCATCTAAGATACATTGCACTTGTTCCTGTAGCATCTCAATGGGTTGTACCACATGAAGCCCAACTGTTTCTGAGAAATGAAAAAATCTTCACTTTCACTGATAACGGTTCAATAATCTTCTTTTTTTCAGTAATTTACATGAATAATAGGGATTTAGTTTACCTGGTATGAAAAGTGTTAGGGCTTTTATACAGCTACGTTCGTAGACGTCAGGTGCTAAGCGCCGGAAACGATATATTATTGACTAAAACAAAAAAATACAAAACAAGAAGAAAAAGAGAGAGAGAGAGAGTGAGAAAATTATATTGAGAAGTGGATTTAGAATTATTCGTTTGATGTGATCAATTCTTCATATTAAGTATGATTTAAAAATGTATTATTTTTAATGTAGAAAACATTTGATATTGCTGCTGTCATTGATGATAATGATGATTATGGTAACGATAATTACCTGTATCATACCCAACTCTTGGCTGGTAGCAACGTCATTAACCGGAAGTCGACTTTTAACTTGTTCATCGTCGAGTAAAGTTGTCACATCCCAAGGTATCATCCATTGAGCAAGATGTAGAAGAAAAAGTTGAGTCCAGGATCGTTCGAGTAAAAGTAATTGATCGTCCTTTGGTAGGGCTTGAAAGGGTGGCAAGCATCTGACCCATCTCACGACCATGAAAAGAAGCCTGGCGGTGATCTCCTAACAGATATTATTTATTCGTTGAATACATATTTTTTAAATTTATACGCAATATTTCAATACGTTGATAGAAAACATGAAAGATTTGAATGAGATAATCTTTGATTTATTTTTTAATAATGATCTATTTTTTCTTTTATTTTTTTTTTATACAAATTTATAATTTTGTTTCATTGCGTATACGATAGAACAATTGAAATGATTGTTGACGTAAGTGATATTTAATAATATTTTACCTCGAACATTTCCCAACTTGGACCAATAATCTTCAAGGTTCCCGTCGGACTATGCCTCGTCTCAGAATCCGTTTGTTCTAACGAATATTCCGTTTCCGATTGTAGCCTAGTACTCCATACAAGTTCCTTTTAAAAATATACAGCATAAAGTGATCTCATATCATTCAAGACATATATTAGGTTGTCCGGAAAGTTCGTGCCGATTTTGTCATTACGTTACCTACAAATCGGTACGAATTTTCCGAACAACCCAATACGATGTATTCGAAAATGTTCTTTTCAAAACACGTAATTAAATGTTTAAATCAATCATTTTTTTTGTTTTATCTTTTTTCTAAATACATATTCTATTTTTTTATAATTTTAATTGTGAACTTATATTCTAATTACCCGCCTACGTACATATATATATTATAGATTAAAAAAAAATAAGAAAAAAAGAAAATAGCTAATTCAAATGTTGACAATTTTACATTATTTTGAAGGAAATCAAATCTAACATAAGAAGAATAATATAGGTATGATTGCTTTGTTTAATTGAAAGATCTTTACTTATTAAATTAATGAGGATAGGGTGTGGGAATAAGAAGATTGGAAAGTTGAGAGAACAAATGAAGTTAAATTAGTTACCTGACACTTCTCAGCAGATATCAGGATCTGTAAGAGGGATTGTTGCGGAGCAAGAGAGACAGTTGTAGCTGCTGCTGCTGCTGCTGCTTGATAGAGAGTTGTTGTCGTAGGAGGGTGCTGTGGCTGAGTTAAAGGTACTGGAGATGTTGACTCTTCCGGTGGTTTGTGTGCAAGTCCTATTGGTCTAGGATAAGGTGTGAATCTTTGCTCGCACCTGAACCTTTTTAAATTGATAATTTTAATCAATACTTATTATTTAATTACTAAATTTACAATTTCCTTTTATTTCTTTTTTTCAAAAATAATTTTTTTTTCATTGATATCATTATGAAGATATACCTATGATGTGAAAGAACATAAGCAGAACGAAGTCCTGTCCTTTGTGTAACTATCGGTGACTGTTGTTGCTGATGTTGTTGCTTCTCCGAAAAGATCGAATGTGGTGGTTTCGGTTTTCTCGGTCCACGCTCATGTTGTACTGCTAAACATCAATGAAATCGTATCTATGTTATTTTTTTTTCTTTTCACCAATTTCACATAAAATTATCAGCATTGATTATTAATAAAAACAAATTAATAACAATGTCATAATTGAATAATAATAAATCATATTGATGATTTTGAATCAGCAAAATGTTATAAATAAATATATTAAATGTTTTTCTCAATTTTTATCAGAATTAATCGAATTGTTTTCATTATTTTTATTTTGTTTTCGATCAAATTTGATAGTAATTTTGTAATGTTCTCCTAAATTTTTTAAACACTTCCCTAATATTTTTTTGAAGACACGATTTGTCTTCAAATTTGCATTCATCGTATTCTTTTCCAAAATTTCAACAAATGTTCTAGTACTTCTTCAATGTTTTAAAAATATTATAGTACCTTTGTAATATTTTTTCAAAATCTCAAGTATTTTTCAACTGCTTAAAAGAAAAAAAAAAAACAAATTATCATATACTTTACTAATGATTTTTATAAATGTCCATAAAGCTTTTAGTACTTTCTTAGTATTCTCTTTTTTAATTTCTAGAATACTTTTCTAATGTTTTCTTTTTTCCAAATTTTCTCGTACCTTTCTAATTTGTTTTCTAGAAAAAAAAGAAGCTGTTACTTCTAGTCCTAATTTTATCGCAATCAACATTCTTCATGAATATAATATTGGGAATCGAAAGGAAAAAGAATTCTAACGATGGGAACGAAAAAGTGGTCATGGCTTGTTCGGAATTGAATTTGGTGGGGGTAGAAATAGTAGTAGTAGTAGTAGTAGTAGTAGTAGTAGTAGTAGTAGTAGTAGTAGTAGTAGTAGTAGTAGTAGTAGTAGTAATAGTAGTAGTAGTAGTAGTAATAATAGTAGTAGTAGTAGTAGTAGTAGTAGTAGTAGTAGTAGTAGTATCAGTAGTAATATAAGTAATAATAGTAGGTTGCTACTGTTCGAGATGTATGAGCTATATTTCTGTAGGAAAATAGTAGAGTATGGGAGTGTTAAGGAGGATAGTGTTAAAAGGGAGGAGGACCTCCAAATGAAATTCTACGAGGGTGGTAGGTTGCGATGGATGCGGTCGCTGGCTGGGCGTCAGCTTCCACATACACACACAAATAGATTAAATATATTATACATGTAAATGTGTACAACTCACCTATATATTTGTATATTTGTGTTTATATGTATGAGTATTTGACTTGAATCTGTATGTGTGAGAAAGAGAGAGAGAAAGAGAGAGAGAAAGAGAGAGAGAGAAAGAAAGAGAGAGAGAGAAAGAAAGAGAGAGAGAGAAAGAAAGAGAGAGAGAGAAAGAAAGAGAGAGAGAGAGAGAGAGAGAGAGAGAGAGAGAGAGAGAGAGAGAGAAAGCTGCAACTGGGTGGCAAGCACATCATCATTAATGAGGCTGAGCGGATAGCAGCCGTAGATTCCCACGTTCGCACTGGCGTCGCAACAATATCTCTGCTTGATTCTGTATCCGTGGCCGTATGACCATTGGCGCAACGAAATACTCAATTTTTTATTTTTCCTTTTCATTCATCTATTTCTTGTTTTATAATATAAAGGAGCGAATAAAACTACCTATCAGAAAAAAAAGAAATACATGTAGGTTACAAAAATATATAATAAAATCAGATGTACTAAGATTTTCATTTGTTTTCTCTATTTTGTATTTCGTTGATTTTGTAACAATAAAAAGCTGAAAAATGAAAAATACATACCGAATGATCTATTTAACAAAAAAAAGATATATATATATCTGTGTTTAATTAAGAAAAATATTGAAAGAAAAAAGAACGAAAAATTAAATGATTTTGTTCTTTTAAATTTCATACAAGATCTTATAATTGAGATATAAAAGAGGAAAAGGGGGAGGAGAGATCAGCTTCGGGGCTGTTTTCTTTATCGACTAAATTGTCCGTTTCAAGGCAGGTAGATAGATGATTATTTTCTCCAGTTTAATTGTTTTTACGCGGGGAGAGAATCGCATGGTAGAAAAAGAAGATACGTGAACGATCACGTACACGTGTTTACTTTGTAAACACGAATCTTTGTATAGTTGTAATGTGACATGGGGTGATGTCGGTCACGTGTCCCATATAATTCGAGAATGATTTTCTAATCGGTCGATCCTAAACTTACTAAACCGTTTCGTTTTCTAACACTTTATCTAATCGTTTTTTCTAATTTCGTTCGTTTTTTATCTAAATTAATTTTTTCATATTTTCAAACAAAAAATTTGTTTTTTTCTTCTAATAAATCATTTTGGTTCTTTTTTTATAAATAAATTTAAAAATAAAGAAGATAGGAAAAGTAATTAATTAATTAATTTTCCTATATATGTGTAGATATATATACTAATCAGCCATTTTGGTTTTTGTTTTAGATAAGGATAAAAGCAAAAAGATACTAATTAATTAATTATGTATCTAAAAAAAAACTAATTAATTATGTATTTAATTCGTATACACACACACACACACACACACACACACACACATATATATATATATATATATATATATATATATACATATATAAAACTAAACGTCGTGTTGATTTGAAGAAGAAACTTAAATCGCAATCGGTGAAGCGAAAATGAATGTGCTTCGAACGAAAGCTTCGCAAACGTAGAGCATCAAACGACGTCGGACGGATTAAGCTCGTTTATCCTTTCGAGCTTGTCAAGCTGTCGAAGCAAAAGATCCGATCTCCGTCCTTTTTTTCTCTATAGTATAATACAAAAAAAGAAAAAAGAAATAAAGGGTCTTTTATTTCATCTTTGAAGCATCATTTCTTGTTCACACTATAAAATTAACAAAATATAAGATTTTTTGAATACAAAATAAGCTTATCGTAAGACATTCAATTAATCCTAAATAAATATCATTATTAATATGTTAAAATTAAAAAAAGAAACGTTAAACTGGCAAAGAATTTTTGAAAAAAATATTTATAGAACTTCTTTTTTCCAACGTTACTTTTTTTCACTTAATTTCAAAATTTTTTTCATTTTTTCTTTTTTTTTTACGTTTATTTTTAAAGAGTAATCTTTATCTAGATTTATCAAATTCAACAATGAAATGTTAACATTGAAACAAATAAATCTCGTTTCTTTTTTTTATCGAAAAGTAATCAATAATGTTGATGTTATATGGAGTCTATAAAAAAAAATAAAATAAAAAAAAAGAACAAAAAAGAAAAAGCAAATTCGTTGATATGTATTGTCGAGAATCTTGGTGAGACAATTTTCAAGTAGTACGTGCGTATTCACGATCCGGACGTCGAACGGACGCAAGGATTAGATTCGCATGCGCTGGAATGGACCGCGCCCTGTTTCCTTTTCATCCTCGCAACCCACCACCATTCTTCCCTCTCTTTGGCCCCGTTCATAGGATCTCTCTTTCTCTCTCTCTCTCTCTCTCTCTCTCTCTCTCTCTCTCTCTCTCTCTCTTTCACACACATACACTCTCGCCAGAGAGAACGCAGGAGCGCGAACGACAGCGTAATACACGAGCATAGCGTGTGCCACGTGTGTACCACAATGCTAGTTCCCACACTGGAGTACCACGTTCTCGTACTATATATAGGGTGGTCCACTTTGATTCGAACAATTTAACAGATTTATTAAATAACAAAGTTGTGATAAAAATCATTAAAAAAAAAAAGAAAACGTAATCGATTCGAAAACATTTTTATTATTAGATACACTTATATCATAATCATTTAATTTTGATTTTTTAATGATTTTTAAAAAAATTCTTTTAGAATATTCTTATCGAGGAATGTAATGGTTAACTATTAACATTGAAATAGTTCACTTTATACATACATATACGCATGCTTTATTGTACGAGATTACGGTAATGTGCATGTGTGAATTTATGAATGTTCTCTACCTCTATCTCTCTCTTTCTATGTCGGCTTTTATGATCTCGAGCGTGTTGGGTGCTCACACGGGCCACAGATCACTGAGGGTGGAGATCGAGGACTGCCTCGCATCCTCCCATTCCTCCTCTCTCTCTCTCTCTCTCTTTCACTCAGTATCCTACTAAACGGTAAACCGATCTGTGAACATTTCAGCAGTCAGCGATCTCGAAGGCTAATCCCCTGGGTGAGTGGGCTTGATACACATCTCCTACCATCACCCATCGTCACCCTCTCTCTCTCTCTCTCTCTCTGTCACTATTCTCATACACCTAACTCTTACTTCTTTCCCTTCCCTAGCCCTACGATTTCCCTCTCACTCGACTCCTCATATGAGCGTGAATATGAACACCATGTAACTTCCACATAGTCGAGCCTTGTTTTGCCTAATACCTACCTATGTAATACACACGAATTTGGATTTACTACATACGTACATGCATACATATCAGCTGGACTATAGAAATATACGTTCACCTCATCTCGTCCCATGTCTCCCTGAAAATATTATGCGTGATGTGTCAGACACCAATGTAAATATAATTTGGGTATTTCAAGTGAATTGGTCAACTCATTACGTGTATCCATTTATGTTAATCGTAACACGATTTCATTGATTTCTTTTTACTCGGACTACTTGCTACATTGATTGATCTTATGTTTCCATTACTTT